AGAGCTGTTTCGGTTCGACCTAGCTGATATTGAGAGCTTGGAAGGGATCACCAGTGAGAGGCCTGTGGGAACATCACAGCACCGGCGTGGAGCAGAGGGATCTTCCCCAGCATCTCCATCCCTACAGTTGGCTCAGAGTGTCCCCACATGTCCCCAGCATGGCAGTGAGCCTGCCCCACTGGGCTGCAGAGGGGAGCAGACATCGCCACCAAGGCCAGCCCCACCAGGGACACCGAGTGGCACCAAAGAGGGACATCTGGAGTGGCCCTGTCCCCATTGCCAGAGGAGGAGTGACAGTTCTACGGCAATAGCTCCTTCATGGGCTCAGGAGGCTGAGGCTGCTCCTTGCCCCTTGGGAGCAGGAAGGGTTGTCACAGAGGAAAACCAGATGGACCCTGCAGCCCCATGGGCAAGTGCCACCTTGTCTCCAAGGCCAGGCTGCACAGTCATCCATGCTAGCTGGATGTGCGTCACCCCTGATCTGTCAGAGGGGCTGGGAACCGAAGGAGACTCTGGCTTTGGCTCTGGCTCCTGGGGGACCTCACCCCAGATGAAGGCAGGGTCCCAGTGGTGCCCTCCACGTTCCCCAGGCAAGCCCCCGGACCTCTGTGGAGCATGTTCCCCTTGGTCAGACAAGCCGAGACCTGGAGGCAGACGGGGTCAATGGAGCAGGGGACGGTCCCGTGCATGTGACCCAAGTGACACTGGGTGGAAGGAGGATGAAGTGCCACGGCTGCAGGCTCCAGTGTCGGGGGGCCTGTCGCCCCTCTGTCCCAGCTGGGCAGAGACACGCTCCCGTGAGGCTGTGGACTCGTTCGAGATGGAAGAGGTGAGTGACAGTGAGGCAATGCTTGGAGATCCCTGGGGCATGGTGTGTGGGACAGGGACAGCTCCCATGCCATGGGTCACTGGAACACTCAGGGCACCGTGCAGACCTGCAGGATGGACCCTGAGGGTGGGAAAAGGGTGTCAGTGGGTGCAGAGAGGAGCAGGCGGTGGGGGAAGGGGTGGAGAGCAGGAAGGGGCTGGGAAGCAGGAAGGGGCTGGGAGTGAGCTGTAACAGTGCACGGGGTGTTACATGGGACGGTTTGGCTGGTGGATAATCCAGGGTAAACTGCCATGAGGCAGAAAAGATCTGGAGCAGTAAATGTCCCTGGTGCATTACTAATGATTCAGGCTTTTAGGATTTCAATGATTTAGAGCTTCAAATGGAGCCTTTTCCAGGAGGGAGCCAGAGCCGTGGACACGTTGTCCTGCTCCTGCACACGTACTCACACATGTGCATGCTCGTATGTTTACACACGCACACACACATGCATACAAATGCATTCTTGCACCTACACCCCCAAATGCATATGTATATGCACACCTATGCATGCACACTAATGCACCTTTGCACACACATGTGCATACACGCGTATGCACACAAGCACAGCAGTGGATACATGCACACATGCATGCGCTCATACACACACACATCCCAGCCTGTCCTTGCAGCCCCTGTCCTGGTACAGCTCCTCACCGAGCCCTGGTGTGTCTCACCTGAAGGTGCTGAGTGCCAGCGAGGATGACAGTGACGCCCACGAGGAAGCAGGTTGTTCCCTCACTCCTTCCATGAGGATCCGGAGAAGTAAGTTGTGAGATATTCCCATCTGTGCAGGGGCAGAGGTGGTCATGAGGAGCTAGTGGAGAGGCAGATAGTTGGTGGGGTTGGGTCTGATTTAAGCCGTGCTGATCCCAACAACCCCAGGAAAAGCCTATGAGCCTTGTCCCTGGAGCTCTGAGAAACAGCAGAGCCAGGATCCTGTGGAGCCATCGTTGCACTTTGGAGCTGGTAGCGTCTCTGTGGCCAGTGAGCAGTGGCATGGGTCTGTCGGGGAGGTATTGGCTCCCACGATCTGTCTCCATGCTGTTGTCTACCTCTTCTCCCATGGTCTGTGCAGCTCCAGTGAGCTTGCTGCTGGCACCCATATCCAGAGCTCACCCTTCTCCGTGCACTGCGTGTCAGAGCGGAGGAGCCCCGGTCCTTCCTGTCAGCCCAGGCAGTGCTGGCACAGGATCCCTGCTCCTGCAGCCCCTGAGCCAAACCCAACACGGGCTCCTCACTGGCAGGAGTATACGGGCCCACGGGACCTTCTGCGCTGCCAGGTTTCCAGGCTGGAGTCTGCTCTGCAGCCCCAGCAGGTTCCTTGGGGAGCCAAGGGCAGCACGCTGAGTGCAGCCCCCAGCAATGGCCCGGTGTGTGCTGGGGGCAGCCAGGCAGCCCAGCTGTGTGCCCCGTGCCAGCATGTGTCCTCCCTGCCCTAGGTTTTATGCTGCATGCCAACAGCGGCCGGTCCGACAGCAGTGGTTTCGTGGAGGAGCTGGTGCCCAGCCAGCTGCCCGTAGCCCAGCTCCACGGCACGTCCTGCCCTCCGCTCCCCGAGTCGGCAGCGGATCCGCGTGGGACAGACTGGATGCTGTAAGGCCAAGGTGCCCCTTCGGACTCAGATGGCACTGGCCCCAACTCCAGCACCACTAGGAGCCATAGATGGGTCTGATCCTGCTGCAAGAAGGATCCTATCACTGCATTTCAAACACAGAGACGATCCCTACGAGGCAGGCAGCCAGGGGCTGAACACAGTGTATACACGTGTGTGTGTGTGTGTGCGCATGTGTGTGTGTACGCACGTGTGTGTGTGTGTGTAGATGCACCTTTTTATGTGTCTGACACAGACCTTTTGACTCAGGACTTTTGCTCAAATGGCACAAGCATCCCTCCTCCTCCCAGCCTGCCAGATGGCACAGGGCCACGGCTCCGTGGGTGCCGAGGTGGGACAGGGCGCCTTGGCCGAGGCTGGCATTGCCTTCAGCTGGCACAGCTGTGGCATGTCCTTGGCAGGAGAGGAAAGGAGTGGGGATGTCTCCCCTGCCCTGTTTTTCAGGGCCTCACTAGCACTTTGGAAACAGTTTGTTACACATGCTGTACCGCTTGTAACACTAGGACGGGGGGGGAAAAATCTCCAGGCAGAGGCAGGTGGGGTATGGTCCAGGCATGACCCTACTCATTGCATCCGAAGCATCTGGGATGACAGCAGTCATCGCACATGATGGCTTCCCTAGTAACTTTGCACATTGTCCCACCAGCATGAGTCCTTGCAGGGCCCCAAAGGGGCGTAATGTATTGGTTCAGGCTGCCTCTGTTCAGCACCAGGTCTTTCCTGGGGCAGAGGAGCTGGAATGAGGCTCCCAGGTTCCTGTCCAGCTTGCTATGACCTGCTTTAGTGTCTCACCCCTGGGGGAGGACTGTGCATGGCTCCCAGCTTCTGGACATGTATGGCCAGGCAGTGGGTGGTGTGCAAGAGAGAGGAGACACTGAGCTGGGTTTTGGATATGACTCTCTCACTCTCTAGAAGCGGATGCTGTATGGGATCTTGTTGCCTCTCTTTCTTCTCTCACCCCTCCTAACTCTCCCTTCTGTTTCCTTATCTGGGTATTTTATGGCTCCAGGCCTGTTCTTCATCTTCCTGTTACCTTATCTTTACAGCTTGTCTGTTCTTCCTCTCCTTGCGATCTGGTCATTTGAGTGAAACCGCACTCTGATGCTCTGTAGCAGTGAATGCCGGCTGTTCCCTTAACCCCTCTTCTGCTGTTTCTGCTGATGCCTTTGCACATGCTCCTGGTAATGCTGCACCCAAGCTGATCCAAGTTATTTCTGATATGAATTTCAACACTGGGTGCCAGGAGCCAAATGTGAGGCAGGACACAGCAGGCAGCTCCTTCAATTGTGCTTTTTTGATGACTTTGGCCCCAGGTGATGTGGACACTGAGCAGATCCCATATGAGATGGTGATTCCCAGCTCCGTGGGGTGGAGGCTGTGGGAGGACTGGGTGGCCCAGGTGGCTCCGGGGCTTGAATGAGACCCAGCATCAGGGACTGCAGCGATGGCTGGGCCGAGCTGGGGGGATGCAGGAGGGGTCCAGCTCTCTGCGCTGCATACTTGTGCATGGGGCTGCGTGGCTGACCCTGAGAATGGTCCTGAGCTGCACCGTGGAGGGGCTGCGGGTGCAGGCTGGGCAATGCAACAGCAGCCAGGCAGCCCCTGTGCCCAAGGCTCACCGCAGGTTCAGGACCCAGCTCTGCTCCTGCCACATGATGCCACAGAGCCTTTCCAGATCTACCCAGGGGACCAGGGCAGGCCACAGGTCACCCCAGGCCAGAGCCGTGCTGCCTCAGGAGGGAGTTTCTACTCTCGCCCACCCTGGCTCTCTACATCTAAGACACTGTTCCCATCCTGGGTGCTTTCAATACCCAACAAAGCAGGGTGATGTTGGGGTGCTCAGCATCTCCCATGGCCATCCCCAAAGCCCAATTCCCAGTGCAGGACCCCCTTGTCCTCTGCACTGCTGGAAACCCTCCTGAGCTCTCTGCTGGAGGAAAGCCCCTTCTCATCCTGGACCATCTCTCCTTGGGCATGGCCTGTCCCTGCATTGCAGGGCATGCAAGGCCCCTCTTCCATCACACACACGGCACAGGATCAGCCAGGACCAGCCACGCTCTGCACCCAGCTTCCTGTCCCCCTGTACGCCTCCCCAGCATCATCCTGTGTCTCTGCCAGGCACCAGTCCTACTCACATCCAGTGACCAGGCTGCCTGCCAGCACCAGGACACCCCAGGAGGGTGCTCCATGGGGAAGAAGCACCCTGCAAGTCATCTGTGATCACCCTGCAAATGAACTGTGACCCTCTGCTTTTGGATGCCTTGCAGTGAGAGGAGGGAGGGCCCAGGGCCCAGGGCATTGATGCTCAAATTAATGAAAAAGGAAAGTCCTAGTGGGTAAATAACCCCCAGGACTTCCCAGTGGAGAGGTGCCAAAGAGAGGAATTAGCCTGGATTATCCATGCAGCCCTTGCGGCAACAACTCTGACTTCAGCAGCTGATCCTGACTGTGCCATGGGTCCCCTCTGTGCCACCCAGCTGTGTAGGGACCGGATCCAACCCGCCGGGGCTGCTTCGTGCTGGCTGGAGCCACCCAGGGCTGTGCTCTCTCCATCTCTCCAGTCTCTGCGGTGGGGTCCGCATCGGACTCGGGGCCACCCCAGACGTGGATGCTCCTGTGAGCTGGCTGTGCCATCTGGCTGTGCAAACAGGTTGGGGTCTCTGCAGTGATCCCATGCACCTTCCCACCCTCCCACACTCTGTCTGGACCTGATTCATCAGATGAACAGAGCAATAACCTTCATGAGCCCCTTCTGTCTGGATCTGGCTTTGCTGAGCGGGTCCTGGATATGGCTGTACAAATTCTCCTAAGTAAGCCTTGGAAAAGCATGGCTAGAGCTCAGGGTTATCCATTCCTGGAGGCATCAAAGGCCAGCTTTGTCCCAGCAGTGCCTGCAGAAGCCGACCAGACAGTGCGGTTTGAGCTGGGGCCCAGTTCACCCAGGGCTACCCACCATCCCTGCACACCTCTGGAGCAGAAAATTGTGCTCTTCTCCCTCCTGAGACATCTGGGAGGGCAGAGCCCTGTGGGATGCCCTGGCTTCGTCATCCTCACTAACTAATTTTGTCTGTCTCCTAGGGGATTGTCCCCGTCTGCAGCCTGGTTTTCTAGGGAAATACTAACCCCCTAGAAACAGTCATTCCTGTTCCCCATCCTCCCCCCACCTCCCAACCATTTGTCAGATCAGACTGGAGCAAGGCTGAAAACCAGAGCACTGAATCGAAGACCCTTTGGGAACTAGTTGGCAATGGGGATGGGGCAGAGGGCAAGTAGTAACATCTTAATTCAGCCTCGCTGCAGAATCTAGTAAAGTTGGAACCTCAGTTTCATTACATTTCATGTAAATGTTGAAGTCCTTGATGCATTTTAGACCTGAGCCTGGGCTTTTTAGGCCAATCTGATCTGATGAATTAGCCGAGCAGGATGGACTATATTATAAATGATGTATCTTAAGAATGAATAGTCACATGGATACCTTCGTGATAGTATAGAAGTATTAGTGGGAAAGGATCCTTGGGGATCTCCTGTCCAAACTCTGTCCTGCAGCAGGACTATCACCAGCACTCTCCATGTCTCCTCACAGGTCCCTAAGTCTGTTCTCAAGGACACACAGGCGGAGGGGAGCATTACAGAGCCAAACCGGTCCCAGCCTTACAGACATGTTCTCCAACCTCTTCCTGCCGGATATTTTAAGATTTTATAATCGAGCTAGAATCCCAGCTGCGACCTGTGTTTGCTCAGCTCCGCTTGAGGGCTTATTGGCTTCAAACAGCAATCTGCATCCGGGTGCCTGAAATCCCACCCTAGGGCAGAGTTAGGAATGGTCTGAGATTAATCTCTCGCTCCCGTTCCCATAGAGGATGAAGAGATCTGAATGTTTGACCCCAGCCCTCGCCCAGGGTGCCTCTGCCTGTGGTGACTGCTACAAGTCCAGAAACCTAATCTCAAGGCAAGCAGGGTAACACAAATCCTCCTTTGGGCACTGGGCAGGACAAATTAATGGAAAATACCAAGAATTCACCCTCTGTCACTGAACCTGAGACACAACAAAGGCTCTGCCTGATGTTATATAGGCCATACAGCATCCCAGGGTAGATTGGGAGCCATGCCTGGGAACAGGAATAGTGAGGGATTTAAGGGTGAAAATGGATAGATATTGTTTTATCTCAGTTCCTGGTGTGATAAGCTCTCACAGACAGTCCATGTAATCTTAGGGACCCTGTCTGACTGGGGACAACGTGATTTTCCAGGTTTTAGACTGAAAAAAAGACTTGAGATTGTGCAGAGAAGAGTCACAATATTCATTTAAAAAGTCTGGAATAAACAACCCACAGCCAGGCACAAAAAGAACTTGGTGCTTTTGCTCACGCAAAGGATGGAGAAATGACTCGGTTGTGCTGTAGGAGTACCTTCCCACAGAGAACAGAGAGCTATTTGGTGTGGCAGAGAAAGAGAACATGAGCTACAAGCATGGACCACATCATAAAAATATCATCTGGAAAGGGCTTGTTAAGGCACCTGATCCACCTGCCCAGCCAGGCAGGATCCAGCCTGCCTGAGCATCTCCTGGGGCAGATGTATCTAGTGTATCTTGGGTATCCTTCCAGACAGCCTGAGCCAGGGACCTGCTGTCATTACCTCTATAAAGTTTTCCCTAAAGTTTTATCTGAATTGTTTTCCTGCGGTTTAAGTCAAGGCACATAGACTGGAGGTCTGAAATCACTGAGATGAATCCCTACCTGTATGCCCAGGGGCTGCACGGTGAATGCTGTCTGTGTCTGCATCTGAGCAGGTCACGCTAGGCTGCCTTTATCCTTGTAAGACGCTAGCATGAAGTTCATCCCAAACCCAGTACGTGTCTAATACAGGTCTGACGAACCGGGCTGTGGAGGCATCTCATTTTCCCCAGTGTCAGAGGAAGACAAGCTCAGATGGGATGCCTGCCTTGCAGCTGTCTGGAGAGACATGACATGAATCCCCCGCTCCTTGGCTCACGTATCTTTCCAGGAGAGTGTTTGTTTGTTAAGCAGTGTGGGGAGATTATTCATCCACATGTTTGCAATTCACAGCAACCTTCACTCTTCTCCGCAGAGCTATTACCTCTCCTCTTTCATCTGTAGAGCTCATTTTTTCTCCCTATGCTCCAGCCCCTACCTTTGTCCTCACTGCATCAAACCCTGTTCGGCTCAGATGATCACTTCAATCAGTAAAGATATTCTGACCTCAGAGTATGTCTTGAAAGGTGTGCGGACTCTCCCAAAAGGGGGGAGAGACTCTCTGTCCCACTCATCATGGAAATACGGAGCAGAGAAGGAGCTAGGTTTGGACAGGACCCAGGTGGCCCCGTGATACTCCTGCACCATCCCTGTTTGACTGTGATCCACTGAGTGCAGCATTGCAGCTAGCTTTCCAGGCTGGTCTATCCTACACTTAGTTTATCTCCACCATGTTTCCCTGGTTTCAGAGGCTGTGTGTGAGTCAGTGTGAACAGCCCAGCACAA